TGCCACCTCCATGCTTCAACCATGATGCTGTCACCACCGTGCTTCACATCATGATGCTGCCACCTCCATGCTTCAACCATGATGCTGTCACCACCGTGCTTCTCATCATGATGTTGCCACCTCCATGCTTCACGTCATGATGCTGCCACCACCATGCTTCACGATAGGGATGTTGTGTTTGTGATGATGTGCTGTGTTTGGTGTCTGCCAAAGGTACCGTCCAGTCTGATGGATAGAAAACTCCATTTTGTTCTCATCAGACCAAAGAACCTTCTTCCAGTTGACTTCAGACTCTACCGCATGCCTTCTGATGAAATCTTGTTCAGTTTTAACGTGACCTTTTTCCAACAGTGGCTTTCTTTTTGCCAACTCTACCATAAAGCTTTGACTCTTGAAAAACAGGCAGCAGTTGTTGTATGAACAGTCTGTGCCAACACAGCCGCTGAAGCTTGTAACTCCTTCAGAGGAGTCATAGCTGTCTTGGTGGCCTCCCTCATGAGATTTAAAACTTCCAAAGGAGTGAATCATTTCATTTGAAAGCACAAGGTTTCAACCAGTACTGGCATTAGAACCACATAGCAACAGCAGCACTTCCTTGCTTTGTAAAACCCGAGTGAATGGTGCATGTACCTGTAAAAGGGATCCAGACTCCCTTGTTAAGGCTCTTCAACCACTCGTCCCCCTGACCGGCGCTGTTAGACAGGAAGAAGTAGGAGCCTGGGCTGGCCAGCACGTCTCTGTTACCTACGAATACACAACCGGCTGCTTTTAGGGCTTTGTTCAGGTCAAGTCCAAGCAGTAACCTGCAGGGCTGAGACTTGAAACCAACACGATGGAAACCTGCAGTTGGGGTTCCTTACCATTGTCGCTCTGGAGGAACCTTCAAAATGTTCACAAGGGTTCTTCAAAGAACCATTTTGTGGGGTTTGGGGTTCCATTTTGAACTCATTATTTGTATTATTATTAATAGTAGTTGTAGTAGTAGCAGTAATATTACAGCTTTTTTTAAAAATATATGGATTATTACCATGATGTTTAAAAGTTTATTCTAACAAAATGAAGAGACTTTTGGTGTTTTTAGTTAAGGCTAATAGAGAGTCTATCAGTACACTGTAATAAGAAATCCATAAATAAAGAATTGGTGAAAGTCTGGCAGCAAAGGAACAGCAATAAATAAATAAATAAATTAGAAAGTACTGTAGCATTCAGCAACTGTTAAAAATGTTAAAATAACAACAAATATCTATAAAATTATTATATTTTATCATTTTAAGTCCAGTAAAAATGCACAATTTCATGGTCACACATTGTCAAAAGAATGAATTACCATTTGTGAAAATCTATTTTTTTATGTGGCTATTCTGTACAGTTTTGGCCACATTTTGTAAGACAACAGTTTGTTTTTTGTTTTTTGTTTTTTGTTAACATTTTTCTTTCAAACATTCCCAATTATCCGTAAAATAACAGAGAAAACTCTTTAAAAATATACACATAAACTTGTATTATTTTTCAGTTTTCAATATACATTATTTTAGATAATGGAAAATATCTTTAAATATTTGTAAAATATAGTTAATTTTTATCATTTAAATGCAGCAAAGTTTGTAGAATTTTATGGTCAAGTATTGCAAAAGAACAAATTAAATTTTTTTTTTTTTAACAGATTTTTGATGTGAACGTTATTTACAGTTTTTACAGTTAATATTTCATTTTCATTCAGTAAATCAAGGAAAATCTGTAAAATATCAGTTAATTGTTTTAAATTGGTCCATGTGTACAGAACTAGTCTTTATAAAAAAATATCTTTGATTTTATTAAAAAAGAGCTCCATAATTTAAACATCTAGATTCTGCTTATTTTGTCATATTAAGGTTTTTTTTTAATTATCTGACTGCAATAAAGAAATGTAATACTGTCAGTCTTGTTCTTCCTTCATCATTAAATGAACCCAGCTGATTATAGGACACGCTGAAATATTGCAAAGTACACAATTAATAAGGTTCCTCCAGAAACCTGCAAAGCAAGCAAGGTTCTTCGAAGACCCTCAGACTCCATATGGCTCTGCTGAGTCTCTCCGTTTCCCATCATGCTCCACTACGCGTGTCCTCCCCAAAGTCACATCAAACACACAAAGACACGCGTGTACGAAGCATGTACGCACACGTGAACCCACACAGTCACCTCAGACGGAAGCCCCAGGACGCTGACTCAGCGTTTAGCAGGCGTCACTCAAGGGCGCCGCAACGCAAACGCAACACAACCGCAACCACAACCGCAACACGGCAGGACTTCTGGAGGGATTAATAAGTAATAAGCTGATGGTCTGAGCGTGTGTGCCTCACCTTTGTGGCCTGTACTGTCATGTTTCCAGGACTTGAAGCAGCTGAGTCCCATGCTGCAGCACTCCTCGTCCGGCTGGGGGCGACTACGCAAACGCTTTTTGCAGACTTGTGAAAGAATTTAAGCATTTGAGAGAGTAGAGGTTTGGATTCTTCTCGTCTTGGGTCCCCGTCACCGTCCAGTTTTGGCTAGTGGGACTTTGATTTGCTTTGCAGCATCCTGGTAGGCCCTAAAGACTCATCCTTGGTGGAAAAAAGCCTTTAAAAGGAGACGCTCATTCTGATATTTTACCTCGTCGGATGCAGAGATGTCCTTTGGGGAGCTTAAGCCTTAAATTCCTGGTGAATTTTGCTTTAAAGTAGCTAAAAAGTGATCTTGTGGTGGATATAGGAGAACTGGCCTTGCTGGGCAATAAATCTTAAAGACCATCCAGTTCCCAGAGTAGAAAACGTTGCCCTTTAAAGAAAAGTCTAGATGTTATCAAAAGGTTTCAGTGGAGATGTAGCCTTAAACTGGGTTTTCTGAGGGATATAAAAACCAAAAGAGGAGCTCCAGATAGGTACAGGGGGTCCTTTTCTGGTGGGTTTTCAACCTTTAATTCGGCCTAGACGGACATGAAAGTTGATAGAAAGTCTTAAAAAGTCGCATTTAGTTGGTTTTCTAGCATTAAAAAGAGGTTTTTGTCTCTGATATTCGTCTTAAAGAGAGGTTTCTTGTCGATGTGGGGTTTGAGATTTTAACCTCGAATGGTGTTACAGAGATCTAATCTTTGGATAAAGTGTTGTATCTTCAGAGGCTGGAGGATAAATTATGACTTATTTAAATTCCTGATGGTTAGTAAAGTAGGCTGAGGAGAGATTCTTGGTGCCCTGAAAAGAACTTCTTGTTGAATATGGAGTCACAGGAAGAGAAAAATCTCAGGATGCTGCAGCCAACTTTGCACGAGGACTCTTCTTCTCAGGTTTTTCTCGAGATACTTTTTCTCCATTGGCTTCAGATGCAGACAGATTCAGTCCATCTGTCTCCTAAACAACCTTTTTTCTTGCAGGTAGCGTTTCCACCGTTCTCCACAAGAACCGTCTCTCCAGAGCTGCTGCAAACACCGACATCACCGCAGGTTTCCGACCAGTTCCTGACAGGAAGGTGTGAGAAAATGACTGCAGCAACAAAACCTGCAAAAATGTTCCAGCTTCTTCAGAAGGGTTCTGCCGGTTCCTCTTGCTAGAACATCAGCCGTTAGTGCAAATGGAGCGTCCATGCAGAGAACGTGAGACAGTCTTCATGTGTGCACCATTTCAAACCATCTCCAGCAGGGAAATGTCCGACTTTACTTCTTGTCTTTGGAGCCGTCTTGTTTCACCGTCTGGGACGCAGATTATTCCACCTTCCTCTAGATTTCTGTCTTTATGTCATATTATCGCTCAGCAGACGTTCAGGCCGTTCTGAGGAAGGAATAACGCGATGTTAGCGCCCCATCCTCCTTCGTCTTCCTCTCTCTGTCCTCTGCTTTATTAGCTCTTTAACTGGACGTCCTGCTCCATTTTCCAAATCGCATCTGCACATGTGAGCGTCCACGTCTTCGCCATCCCTCGTCTTCCTCCTTCACTCCGTCCCGTCCTGTCTGTTGTCCCTCTCTTTGTCCTTCTTCTGTCTCATTCCCACTATCCTCTCTCCCTCTTTATCTCTCACTCTCTCTCTCCACATCCATTTCCCAGCAGTGTGTTTGCCCCCAGTTGCCCCCCTCCCCATTTGCCTCATCAATAACCATGCCGTGTGTGCGCGTCTGAAGGCTGTGCATTAGCAAAATTGGTTCTCTGCGACGCAGCGCCGTTTTACCAAAGTAATCACAGCTGATGGCGAGAGAGAGCGAGAGTCGGAGAAAGAGAAGGAGAGAGATGATCTGGCTCAAATTCTGCTGAAGTAAAGTATGGACTGCTGCAGCAACACACACACACACACAGAAGCGCACACACACAAACACACACTGTCACCATGATTCAAATGGACATTAAAGCGAGAGTCAACTTTTGAACTCAGTTTAAGTATGAGGAACCTCTCTCCCTGTCTCACTACAGTCCAGTTCAATAAACCTCATCTAGCTCAAGTACAATACAAAAAACTGTGTATTGATCAAGCTCTGTTGCTAATCAATACCAACAATCACATATTCACAGCTGTCCTGCCTATAGATCTGTCAAAAGTATGTTGACAGTTCACCGTAAAACTGCGATTCGACAGACTTCCCCTGCGTTGTTAAATTATACTGATTAGGAAACTGGAAATAACATCAACATCAAAAATCTGTATTTTTACAAACTTGTTCTGTTTGACTGTAAAATCATCTTGTTTTTACTGCATTAAAATCAGCAACAAAAAAATATTATTATTATTTTACTCACCATTATTTGAAATAAAAAAATACGTATAGACAACTGGGCCTGGCCCCATCATGGAGCCGTTACCCAGTGGGCGGGGCATTGGGGTCGTAGAGTGTTGTGGCAACCCAGTAGCAGATTGGTTGTGGGGACGAAGAACATCACCTCAATGACAGGGGAAGGAACCTGAGCTGGTACAGGAGTGGTTCTGGTTAGATATAGTTGGGATTACCGCCAAGCATGGCAAAGGTTCTGGAGCCAAACTCCTGGAGAGGGTTGGACCGTCTCCTTTTCTGGAGTCGCCCAGGATGAGAGGTGCCGGACGGATGTGGGGTACTCACAAGCCCCCGGGTCGCCTCTCTTCTACTAAGTGTTGCAGAGGGTAAACTCTGACTGTTCTTTGTGCGTATCCACCCAACATCAGTTCAGAGAACTCCGCCTTCTTGGACTCTATATGTGGTGTCCTGGAAGGGGTTCAGAACAGGGACTCTACAGTTCTCCTGGGGGACTTCAATGCTCACGTGGGCAACAATAGAGAAACCAGGAGGGCAGTGATTAGGAGTAACGACCTGCCTGTGATGTTCTGTTATTGGACTTCTGTGCCAGTCATGGGTTGGCCAAAACATACACCATGTTCAAGCATGAGGTGGCTCATAAGTGTACCTGGTACCAGAGCCCCTTAGGCCAAAGGTCGACGATCGACTTCATAATCATGTCATTAGACCTGCAACTGTATGTCTCGAACACTCGGATGGGGAGAGGAGTGGAGGTGTCAACTGATCACCATCTAGTGGTGAGTTGGATCCGGTAGTGGGGAAGGCTGGTACCTGGTAAACCAAACAGTTAGTGAGGGTGAACTGGGAAAGTCTGCCGGAGACTTCAACTGAGGTTGGAGACATGGAATCTTGAGTCGGCCATGTTCAAAGCCTCCATTGCAGGAGCAGGTGTCAAGCGCTGTGGCCAGAAGGTCACTGGTCCCTGCTATGGCGGCAACCTAAAAACCTTCAGGCGACTGTCAGGCTGAACTAGGAGGACTTCTGGGCTGAGTTGTGTCGGTGGACCAACTCTTTACCTTTGCAGAGCTGCTGAGGGGGTTGGAGTTTGAACAGCTAGTCAACGTGTTTTGTGGATTCAGAGAAGGTTATTGACTGTGTCTCTTGAGGGGCTCTGTGGAGGAGTACTGTGGGAGTGTGGGGTACCGGGGTCATTGTTACAAGCCATCCGGTACCCATACAACCAAAGTGTTAGCTGTGTTCGTGTTCCAGGCTTTAAGTCAAACATATTTCTGTCGGCGTTGAACTCCGCTGCCCCTTGTCTCCGATTCTGTTTGTGGTTTTCATGGACAGGGTCCAGCCAGGTGAGGTGGTTTTGGACATCAGATTTGGATGCCTCTTGTTTGACTTCCTTTGGAGGTTTTCCGAGTAAGTCCACCTGGGAGGGTAGACCCAAAGCCAGACCTAGAGCTCCCTGGAGGGATTATATATCTCATGTGCCCTGGGAATGCCTTGGGATCTCCCATGAGGAACTGGAAAGCGTTGCTGGAGAAGTGGAACATCTGAAATGATCTGATTCACCTGCTGCCTCTGTGACCCCGGACAAGCAGAAGAAAACCGATGGATGGTGTTAAGGACTGAAAAATCTGATTCAGAAGCTATTTTCAACAGGCATTCTTGTTCTTGTATGAGTGATTTATAACAGTGATGGTAAAAGAAACCTGGAAGAGTTAAAAAAACAAAAAAAAAAACACCTGAGACTTGATATTGTCATGGTTCAAAGAAACCGGTGTTGATTTGACAAGATGTAATCGTCGCTGCTGGTGTCAAAGCCAGACACTTGTCATGAAACATAAAAACTACAGGCGCCTTCATGTCTGACTGACAGCCAGAAATCACAGCCACAAGCCAACACATGTTAGAGCTCCACTGTGCGTCTGCTGGTTTGTGCGTCTGATTGCCTGAACTCTAATCACAGCTGAGAGCTTTCACGTCTGTCAATAGGACCGGCAGCCGACAGCACACTCTTCATTACAAAGTGCTGTGTGTGAATTTGTGCATGTGTGCTCTCCGCCAAATGAAATTTGTCACTTCCTCTCCGCCTCACTTTGACTGCATGTTTGGAATGAATCGCACACATGGGAATTCTGCAAACCAGCAGCCGAACTTCCTCCGTCTCCGTCGGGAAGAACCGATTTCACTGTTTGGCTCTTACAGGAAATAAAAAAAAGTCTGACAGCAGCAACCCCGACACAAACACACAAAGGGATATTTCATTCAGTCCAGCAGATCAGTGGGTTGATCCAGGAACACAACTGACTGGGAACGTTCCCACAACGTTGGATAACATTGCACTGTTTTTTTCAATTTGCACATTTTGTACAGTTATTTTATTTTATTTTAATTTCACTTTATTTTCATTTTTCATTTTTTAAATAGTATTTAACTTTAGCCCTTGTCTGTTGGGATTGGTGTTTTTTCTTTTTTTCTTTTTTTGCTGCTGTATCACAACAAATTCCCAGGCCTAGGATAAATAAAGTATTTTTCTATTCTATTCATTACCAACAAGTTCTTAAAAATGTTTGAATTAAATGTTTTAATCAGATGTTTAAAGAACCTTCGGAGAACATTTTCATTTCTGATTATTTCCCTGTGACTCCATTATAACGTTTTAATGTCAGCATTC